TGTTTATATGACTTTTATGTAAAACGGCCATTTTTTACAAGACCTAAAGTTTTTATGTAAATGGACATTTTTTTTCAAGACCCAAAGATGTCTTAAAATTGTTAAAATTCAAAAATAAATAAATGACGTTCCATTATAAATTAAAATTCGCGGGAAAATGTTTCACACCAACACTTGTTTAAAAAATTCATTAATTAAATAGGTCATTACGATCTTTTTGAAGTCCTGCCCGTGTAATGTTATAAATCTTAGTGTAAATAGTATTATACGGCAAATAAAATAAAATAAAAAAATAATAATAATAAATAAAATGACTCACCCTAGTTTATGTTTCATAGTGAATTACATGTGAAAAATTTGAATTAAAATATGAACCAGCAAGAATTGCAACTCTCATATTTTACACATGAACCAATAGATTTTTGAAAAAGTTGTCGCTATTAAGCAGCCGGGTATTTTTAAATTTAATTTAAAAAACTTTATTTTCAGTTAATAGTTTTAACATAAGTAAAATTAATTTAAATCGACACATCTAACATTATAGACAGTTTCTCACATAAATATCATCAAAGTAGAATAAAAAAAAAACTTTTAATTAGAATTTGTTAAAATCATTTTTTTTTAAACCACTAACTACTCTAACTAAGCTAATTTAAATCATAAATTATAACATTTAAAACATAAAACGCTTGTTAAACAAAACGTGTTTTACCGTCAGTGTGAACGAGGTATAATTTAAATCAACACATCTATCATTACAGCACACACTCACTAAAAAAAAAAAAAAAAAAAATTTCAGTTACCGTTTTTAGAGTTTTTTTTACAGAGAAATAAATAAAAAACAAAAATAATAATCTATCGCATAATTAATCTTGCTATCGCATAATTAAATAAAAGCAAACAACAACAAATGTTGAAAAATTTTTTTTTACCACTTCTTGATATGTTTATTAAATACATGAGGACATATAAATAATTTTAAATTTATAAATATGTTTATTAAAAACCTGAGCACTTATAGATAATATACTAAAACTTAATAACAATAAAAAAATAAAAATTTAAATTACAATTTATAATTTTTATAATAAGTATTATAATAAATGTTATAATAAATTTTTAAAAACTACCAACTACTCTCATTAAAGTCTAACACAAAACAAAAACCTTTTTTCAAAAAAATAACACAAAACAATAACGCGTTTCAAAAATATTTCTAAAAAAGTTACGCCTAAAGGACACCTAAAGGGCACCATCCATTAGCAATAACCGAAACCAAAGTACTTTTTATGCTCAAAAAACAAACTGATGCTTACAAAATTACGTTAACAAAATTTAAAAAAATCAAATCATGTTTTATAATACGAGATGTAAATACAGTTTCGTTTCCGCCCATTTAAAAACTTTTTTGTTGAGTTGGTATATGAAAAGCTATCTTGCCTTGTTTTCTCTAAATGTATAAAATTTTATATAAAAGTTATTTGTAATTTAATGTTCTACCTTAAAAGGTTGAAAATCTAACTAAGGATATATCCCATATCCTACCCTACCTACCCATATCCTACCCTGAGAATTTTTTTCAGAATGTAGTAATAATTACTATTTTATCATTAACATTTTAAAAGAAAAAAATTAAAAAAAAAAAAAATCATTCATTTTTTTGAGTAATGAAAAAAAACATTTTTTATTATTATTGAATTTATTTAAATAATAACAATTACAAATCATATTAATGAGAAAATAGTAATATACAATATTTTCTCAATAAAGAAAGAAATTATTAAAAAAAAAATTTCAATAAATTTATTCATTTTTTGAGTAATGAAAAAAAAGAGGTTTTTATTTTATATAAAATGATAGTTATTGCTATAAAATGATGGTTATTATTATTTCTATTTGCTATAAAATGATGTTATTATTTTTATCTGCTATAAAATAGTTGTTATTATTTATTTAAATAAATAAATAATAACAATTACATACAAGTATTGTTGCAAAGAGAGACAATATCAGTTTGTTCAATCAATTCATATTTTATACTTATTTTTTGTGTGTGGATTTTTTCAGATTTTTTTCTTCAAATTATTTCATCACAACTACCATTTCTTTTTGGCGCAGTTGCTTGCTACTTGCATGTTTTTTACAAACTGAACAAACTTTCTGTAGCCCTCCAAATCATCCGAGCAGCTAGAATCTTCCGTATTTAATTGATTACTGTCTTCTTCGGAAACATCAAAAATGTTGAAAGATATTTTGTTTTCCGGATCAACAAGGTTAGAAAGACTCTGATTACAGTCTAAATTAAGAACTATTATGTACGGACCGCTTCTGAATATCTCTGGCTTAACATTGGTGAGCAAAATCTCTTCGTTTCTTCCTTTATGATAAGGCAGATCTTTGTATGCTTATGAAAAAGCTAGTTTTTCGTCTTAATATCATGTGTTACGTTTTAAGCGTTTTATTAGAGTTTTTCTTATACTTCCTTAAACATTTTAGCTCTCCCCCTTCTTTCCTAATTTTTATGAAATTTAAAATAGTCGCAGTTTATACTTATATACTATTTATCCTGCTTTGACATTTAAAAAAAATTGTGAACCTTTTTATCTCGCAAAAGTCTTAAAGTGTTAATTTTAAAGTGTTATTGGATTAATATCCAATGACAATGCGAGATGATAATTTCAGTTTATTGGCATCAAAAACAAGTACGATACGAATTTTCAAAATATTAGCATCGCAATCGCTATCAGCATGTAGCCATAGCCGAACCTTTTAATTATTAAATCTAGGCAAATAATAATTAAAAAAAAAACTTTTTCAATTTAATTTTCAATTTAATCGTAAATAAATTACACAGTTGTATATTAATATACATTATATAATTTCTTTTGGTGTAACTTTATATGGTGTTCTCTTCGTATTCGATTTCAAACTGCAATTCGATCTGTGGTACATTTTAAATCCAATAATATTATTTATATAGGTTTAAAATTAGATTAATATTAAATTATTTGTCTGGAAAATTTAAAGCTAAGTATTATTTTTAGGCTTAGATACTCAGTATGAAAGTCGTTCACAGTTGTCAGAAAAAAAGCAAAACCGTGCACACACTGTGCACTTCGTTATGGATCTTTGAGCACAGTCATATGCAAAATATTGCTTTGTGATTCATTTCGATGTTGATTAAACTTTGACAAAGTTACTTTTGAATCAGAAAAATAAGATTTTTTTTTTTATCCTAAAACTTTGTTTAAAAACTTAAGGAGGTTCTTCATCTGCACTTTTGATTCTTTTTTTTTCATGTTAAGTTTATCGAAGTTTTCATGCAATCATAATAATTATTTTGAAAATCCAGAAAAAAATTCTGTTTTTGTCTAAATTTTGAAGGTGTTTCTCATTTTATGGCGCTCAGTTGAATAAGTATTAAATTAACGCTCATTATATCTTAATGCAACAAGAAAACAGTTTAAATATGCGCATCTTAAATTTTTATGTTACATGTAGTTACAGTTTTCTTTTCCGTTCTGTTCCGTTCCGCAATAAATTTCTTGTAGAAGGAAATCCGCCTTAAAGTAAACCATAAAGAATTTGTGTTTATAACAGTTATAATTGATCAATTGTTCCAAAAAATTCTTTATAATTTTATACTTTAAAATTTTTATTTTTAAAAATATTTCAAAAATGTTTAAGAAGATAACTAATGTGAATTACTCATTCATTTGATTCACTCCATAAATAATATAATGGTTTGGTTACTTAGTTAAGTAAAAGATTAATGCTTGAAAAAAATTGACAAAATCAACTAATAAAAAAATACCTAATTTTTTACCCAATAGAAGGGTAGTAATGCATAACTGACATAAGTTTAACAAACTAATTGCTTTATAGACTCTAAAATTTTGAAACCATTATTATGTCAGTTGTCTAGTCCAAATTAAAATTATAAACTAATTATGCTGTCATAAGTATTATAAAAAACCAATTTGACTGTCAAAACTATTATAATAAACTAGTTATGCTGTTAAACTTGCTTTGTTAATTTTAGTTTTATGGCCAAACTTTCTCAGCCAAAAGTTTTAAAATAACATAAAAGTTTAAAATTACTATATTGGATTAATTAAATATGTTTAAAGTTGTTTTTGACAAAGCTCATATAAACGTAGACTAAGTTTTTATGAGCTTTGTTAAAATTCGTACTTTATAAACAACTAAGTCTTAGTTGTTTATAAAGTACAAATGCAAAAAAATTAAAAATCCTTTTCCGCTGTATAATGTTTAATATGCAGCGGAAGGGGGTTTTTAATTTTTTTTAATCCTAAGATCTTTTAATAGTTCGGTCAATTTTGTTTATTATTTTCATTGCGACGTTTTTTTTAACGTAGTTAAACATTTTATAATATAACGATAGTCATATTATAAAACATAAAAGTATGTTGCAAGGGCAACTTAATTAAAAATTAAAACATTTATTTTCTCAAAACTCTTTAAAATTTTAATTCTTGGAATCTTATATAAACTATTTATTATTTAATAAGTTGTCAGTTGTTAGTAAAGTTATTTGAATAGAAAAAAAAAATTAAAAAAAATCAGTACTCAAAATAAGTATTTATTATTCAGATAACGAATTTTTTTACCCAGGTATGTAAAATATTATTACCTTGGTATGAAAGAGGTAAATGAAATTTTATGTTGGAAATAAAATATCAAAATTAAATAGAGTATAAAATACAGACGTATTGCATGCTTCAAAATGCACTGCTTAAAAATGCACGAATGCTTGCTTAAAATATTAGCTGAATCAAAATATTCAAAAAATATGAAATAATAAACAATTTAGCATAAATGTTTTCACCGACTTTTCATGAGCAAAACAAATATTTAATTTAGTGACCATTGAGTGGAGAGGTTATCTAATTTATTTTTACGTAAAATTTAAGAAAAAAAATTTATGTACTAAGTAATATCCGCTCTTCTATTTACTTTAGAATATCCGCCATTTTATCACGATGAAAATATCTGCCAATCTATTAACGCGTTTAATGATTTGAGGTAGTAAATAACAAGTGTCGCAATACGGTCTTGTTATTGTTTTCATTACTATTGGGGGCACAATGGTTTGTTTTTACTTTGTTCTATTAGGATTCTGAAACATTTTTTTCATTAAAAAAAAAATTGATTTTTAATTTTGTATCAATTTACGTCAATTAACATTAATTTTAAGCTAATATCAAACGTCAGTGTCAACAAATTTCTGTTAACTTCAGCTAATATCTAACGTCAAGCACCTAAAGCGGCCCCACACTACGGTAAATACAATATTTATATTAAAAATAACTTAGTTTCATTGCTTAGAATAAGTACTCACATTAAAATATAAACACGCGAGCGCAAGTATAATTGTTCGCTTGACAACGTTGTAATAGTACAATACACTTATGCTTACGTGCATAATTAAAAGATTAATCGCAACTGGAGAATTTTTTTAAAATATTTCAAGAAATATTGTCATAAGTAATAATTACTTAAAGTTGAATATTCTTTAAACTAATTTTAACTTTTTTTCAATATTATAGACTACTAATAACAAAAACTACCATCATAGCAAAGAATGAGAGAGTTTTTGAAGATTTCTGAGTTTCTCCCAACATTTAAAATTGGGAACGCAATTTACTACAGCACTTTGTAACACGAAACTACTGTCCATTACATTATAATATAAACATACTTAAGGTATAATATATTAATATTATAGCATTTTTGTAACTAATAGTAGGTCATGTAAATCAATCTATTTAAACAAACAACATTAAAAAAAAAAAGTTGTTAAAGGTCATTCAAGTTTCTCATCACAACGTGATCATTCAATTATGCATGATCAAGCTGACACACCAAAATCAACATTTCAACACAAAATGCTGATGTTAGAAATAATTTATGTTATTAAAAATTCTTAATTGAAACACTGTAAATTTTTTATCGTGTGATTCATGTCGGTTTTATTAAACTTTTTCTTGTAGAAACTTAAACTTGATTATACTTTCCTATGTCACTCCATCCCAGATTCTTTAACAAAGTTCCCAACATTGATGGTTTTTAAATTTTCGTGTTGATCTTAATAAAAAAGATGATGATCTTAATAAAAGCTTTATTTTATTAGTTATTTTTATGTTTTTGTTTTTTGTTTTGAAAAAATTTAATTGACGTTATTAAGCTTTCTCTTGATTTGTTTTCTTATAAAATCTTTAAAGGAAAAAAAAAGGCAACCATGAGAAATAGTTTGGAAAGTGTCCTGCAACCTCTAGATGAAAAGAGTCCACGTCCTGATGATAAACAAGAGAGAGAAACATGGGGAAACAAAATTGAATTTATTTTGACTTGTGTTGGATATTGCGTTGGTTTGGGTAATGTTTGGAGGTAAATTTTTTTAAATTTTCTTATTTAGGTGCCCCAAAGTGACTTAACGGCCTTGTCACAGAGCACCGCGGAAGTGCATTTAACCAGGAAGTTCACGCCTCTTTCCTTACCGTGACGCGAAAAAATGTCCAGAGCTTGTTTCGAACTTGGATTTCCTGCTTCTAAAGCAAGCGTTCTAACCATTGCGCCACGGCCGCACAAATATATATATATATATATATATATATATATATATATATATATATATATATATATATATATATATATATATATATATATATATATATATATATATATATATATATATATATATACATATATATATACATATATATATACATATATATATATATATATATATGTATATATATATATATATATATATATACATATATATACACACATATATATATGCATATATGTATATATATATATATATATATATATATATATATATATATATATATATATATATATATATATATATATATATATATATATATATAAAATTTGCATCGCGCTACTCAAGCGCTGACTTCATAATTAAAAAAATTAAAAAGTTAGATAGAAAGATCTCTGAAAAACATCCTCATTAAATGCTATTCCGGGGTGCTCCGTGACAAGACCATCACTCGGAGAACATTATTTAGAGTACCATATTTTGTAACATATTGTATACAATATGTTACATGCGATATATCATACCTAAGTACTGCGTACTGTGTTTCTTTCTTTTAAAGCTCTCAAAGTGGTGTTATATTTTTGTATTTATATATACAAAAATACTAATCATTCCTAAATATATATACAAAAAAACAAATCATACCTAACTAGTTAGGTATGATTAGTAAGATTTAACATTAAAAAACCATAAATTTTATTTATATATAATACTTTATTTTAATATATATAATATATATGTACTAATTAATTTAATTAATGAAAAAATACATTATTGCAATAAAATATTTTTAGATTTCCGTATCTTGTGTTTAATAATGGCGGAGGAGCATTTCTTATACCATATTTTATAATGCTGTTTGTATGCGGAATGCCTTTGTTTCTAATGGAACTTGCTATGGGGCAATACTTTAGTAATGGTCCAGTTAGTACTTGGAATATTATATGCCCGGTTGCCAAAGGTGATTAGAATAAAATAAAAAAACAAAGTATATATTGTTTGTTTAAAGAAAATCCAAAAATTAAAGAAAATTAAACAAACATAGTCTAGCAGATATTATTTTCAAAGTTATTTGTATTCTTACTTGTTTATTTTTATGCAGGTGTAGGTTTTGCAATGATTGCAGTGGCTTTTCTTTGTACAGTGTACTATAATGTAGTAATTGCATGGGTGATATACTATATATACGCTTCAATTGGTAGGGTTGTTCCATGGAAATACTGTTCTAATAAGTGGAATACAGAAAATTGTTACGATGGAACAAATAAAAGTATATATTTATTTGTTTAAAGATTTATACATATATGTGCATATTTTTGTGCGTGCTTCCGGGTGTGTGTTAGTATGTGTCCGCGTGTGTGGGTATTTTAGTGTGGGAATATTGTTTTTGATGAATTAAATCCATAAGTTAAAATTGCAACCTAGTGCATTGGTCAGAGTTCTGGCTCAGAACCAAGTGGTCTGAAGTTCGATGTTTGCTCTAGCCCAATAAACGATATTGGCGATAAAGGAGACGTGAACTTCCTAGTTAAATGCACTAAAGTAATACTCTGTAATAAGACTGTAGAGAGTTCTAGGAGCACCTTAACAGCCAAAAAAAAATACAAACAAAAAAACAACTTTTTTTTAGGTTTTCAAAAAGAGATACAAACCGACCTGAACCGCGTTAATTTTTCAATGTAAAAACTTCTAAATAAACTGTATCAACCTATTTAATAATACAAAATAACCAATTACTCTACAGTGATTGTGACAGTTGATAGACAAGCGAAACCTTTTAATTTTCTATGGGATTACCTATTGAAGTAAATCGTGTTAAAAAATAGCCCCGAAATTTGAAAGAAGTAATTAAAAAAAAACTTTTTTGGCAAAGACAAAAGCACTGAGTTGAGTGTTAGTTTTGCCTAGAACTCAGAAAAGAAGAGCAAGTTGTATCATAGTCAAGTTCATCGAGTATTGTATTCAGAAAAATGACTTAGAAGATTTCTGCGTTTAAAAAAAACGAAGATGAGTTTTACTTTGTTCTTCCTTAAGTTGAGAATAAATCACTGATCAGCTATTCTCAAATAATAGAATATGCTAAATCTTCAACAATGGCTTCACCACAATGCTATCAGAGGTAGAACAGAGGCAAAAATTTAAAACAGTTGGCCACTTTTATAGCACAAAAATTGAATGCCAAAATAGACAAGTTTGGTGTCTCTATTCACCCCAGATGCGGGATCATGGAGAATTAGCAGAAAGCAAATATGGAGAAAGAAAAAAATCACTCAGCAATTAAAAAACTATTATTATTTTTAACAAAAACAGACCTTGCATTACTTTATCTATTTATTGCAAATAGTATAAAATTTAAAGTAGTATATACATATATATATATATATATATATATATATATATATATATATATATATATATATATATATATATATATATATATATATATATATATATATATATATATATATATATATATATATATATAAGAGAGAGAGAGATAAAGAGAAAGATAATTTTTTTAAATGGATAAACTAATAATTATAAAAAAAGTTTATTTTACAGGCAAACTTGATTTCAAACAGAATTGTTCGACTTTTGAACTAAACATCACAAACTCACTTATAAATACAAAACCTTTGTTAAACGCTGCAACGACGCTGGCGGCAAGTAAAAGTCTGCAAATGAATGAGACGAATTTAAACTCTACCGTATGTAGTAATATAAGTTTTTATTACTCATCACCAAGTCAAGAATTTTGGGAAAGAAAGGTTTTAAACATCAGCGGAAGCCTTAGTGATAGCGGAACTATTCGTTATGATTTGCTTGTGTGTTTAATCATAGCGTGGACTCTTGTTTTTTTTTGTCTTATAAAAGGGATAAAATCCACAGGAAAAGTAAGCAATAGTTTAGTAATTTAAGTTAATTCAATTTTTTATTTAACATAATAACTTTATTACATTGTTTTCATTTATCTTAAAAATGAGTATTTACAAAAAACAGAATGCTGCATCTAATAATAGGCAATACAAAAAGTACTTGTATTTAAAAGAAGGAAAAAAAACTAATTTCGTTGTAATTGTTTAAAAAATAACCATATTTTCTGAAATATTAAGAAATAAAATTATTCAATCATTTAGTCTTTATTCATTTTTGAGGGGATTTAGCTTTCGTTAAGACTAAAATGATGATTGGCTGTATGAATGGGAGGTGAGGGTGCTACTTTAAATAAAATATATACTTAAACTCAGATAAACTAGCGTTTTAAAATTTCTTTACAATTTTTCTGAGTGCAGATTATTATCTATTTAAGTATATTTTAAGGTTCATTTTAAGATATTCTTTGAATAAATTTCAACAGTCTGAATAAGACTGTATTTTTTGCGCAAAAATCTCTGAACATGGCAATAATAAACACTCAAATTTATTGGCTATAAATTTTTTGAATAACGCTTCAAGAAGTATGTTGACGTAATTTTAATCAAAAAATCGTTGCTATATATGTTACATGCGTGCGAAGCTTAACTAAAACTCAAATGTAAGTAACTAAATTTAAATGGAATGAGAAATATTAGGCCTTTAAAAAATATGTTTATTTCCCATTGCGGCAATTTGATATATCCAGCATAGAGTGGCAGTGTGGTACATCCAGTCAATGAGTGGACAGTCAAAGAGTAAATCTTGGTTTGTTTTACGACGCGATTGTGAGTTGCAAATAGTAAATAATAAGATATAAATACTATTGATTGAGTTATCCAATCATAATTTTTTTTACATTTTTCTTTTGTTAGGATAACAATTTGTTGATTTAATGATCACCAGATTAACACGTTTTCTAAGGTTTTTCAAGATACAATATGTTATCGTATTAATATCAGCTTCTTTGTGTTATTTTTGAAGAGTTTTAAAGAACTTTGCTATTAATTTTTTTGCACAAAAACCTTCCCTAAGAAATGATTTTTATGATTCTTTTTTATGACACCCCCGGTTTTTAAAAAGTGTTCTCTCGACTTATGTATCATTTGGAAAATTTACACTTTTTTTTACATTACATTTTAAAGATATATTTGTTGTTTATCCGTTAAGCAAACGATTACAAAAAAAATAATACAAATTGGTTTAAACGTTACCTTTCTTTGAATAAGTTATCAATACAGTACCGGATCAAGAGGGGGGGGGGCTAGGGCTATAGCCCCGGGCCCCGCAAATTTAGGGGCTCCCAAAAATATTAGAGGACCTTTTTTTTTTTTTTATAGACTCTGGCCCATAAAAAGGCCTCCAAAAACAAAAATAGTCCCGGGCCCCAAGAAGTCCTAATCCGCCACTGTATAAATAGTATGTTTTATTTTTATGACACTTTTGTCCTTGTTGCTCTGACAAAAGTAAAGTGTTATATAAGCTCATTTTTTATATATATTTTTTATTATAATTATTTAACTTTTGAGCTTAAGTTTCGTAATTTTTAAAATTATTTTCTTGAAACATTATAAAAAATTGGAAAGATTCTTTACTATTTTTTATAATTTTTATTTTTTATTTATTTGACATTTTAAAATATAATTGATTGATTTATATATAACAGTAAGTAATTCGTTAAATACTAATAAACTTTAAAATGTATTAAATTTTTATTTTAACAACTTTTAGTTATTTCTGATTTATTTTAGAGCTAATTTTAAATAATTGAGTAGTACAATATAAGCCAAATATTTCATATATATTTGTATTCCTTTTTATATACTTTTTTTTTTTTTTACCATTCCTTTATATCATAAATATTCTTTTTACCATTTCTTTACATCATAACTTTAACTCTTTTGCTCAATAAGACATATTTATATCGGTATTTTAACAAAATGATAAAAATATCAAAAAAAATATTTTTCTTTCGTTTAGGTTGTTTATATTACTGCTACGTTACCGTATGTGTTACTCTCCGTCCTTATGATTAGAGGTGCATTTTTAGAAGGTGCGGGAACGGGTATTGCGTATTACCTAAAACCAAATTTTTCGATACTCGGAAAAATTAATGCTTGGGTGGAAGCAGCTACGCAAATTTTTTATTCCCTTGGCATTGGCTTTGGTTCTTTGATTGCATTTGGAAGTTACAACAAGTTTAACAATAATGTTGTCAGGTATGGTTTTTAATCAATTAAGTAAGCACCTTTGTTCACTCTCGGATGTTTAACAATTTTATAATTAAAATTAACTATAATATTGTCAGGTATTGTTTTAATCGTTTTAAATTAACAAGTAAGTACCTGCGCCATCTTTCTTTTCAAAAGATTGGTTCGACACAATATTAAAATGCAATTTTCGTTTTTTGGTGTTTTTCAAAACAAATTTTTTTTTAACTTTTTTAGCGTTTTTACCAAATGAATTTATTTTATAGCGTTTTGTACCGTTTTTATAAAATAAATAAAAACTCTTTTTGTTTCATGTCGATTTTTACAAAACAAAAGTTATTTTATCGTGTTTACCGTTCTGTACTAAACAAAACAATTTTATTTTTTGAATTAAGAAATAATTGTTATCTTTTTTAAATCTAAAACAAGCAGATAAAATAAATAAACTTCCTGGGTGTTTTAGTGGTTTTTTAAAATAAAAAATAATTTTCAATCATGTCTAAGCCAACAATTTTTGTGGAATTACTAAAGGATCCACAAGTGATATCAGGTACCATCTAAACAAAAAAAATCCCATGACTACGTTTAGATGATAACAACTTTGGTTAATCTTGAGTTTCAAAGGGCCAGGGAACTTAAATAAATAAAAGAAGTCGCTATCCAACTACATAATGCATATGGTAAGTATTAGTAAAACTAACTTTTTTTTTCTTAAAAATTTGCTTTTTCTTATAAATTATTTCAATTTATTTGTAGAACATTGATTTTTATTTAGTTTAGCAAACGCAACCTGCATCACATAAAAAGTCTTTTTAAATAGTACTTTTAAAGCAATTGAGCTGAAAATTATTTTTTCTATAAATAACTCAGTTAGAGACAGACATGGTAATCATGTCTCACATTGCCAGCATGGGCGCCCGCAGAGCATTTTGATGTTTCAGATATGACACTTTCACGCATTGTGAAAACTCCAAACTTAAGTATGTATATGCATATGCCAAATGAAAACGCTTTGAAAAAAACCGCGGTGATAAAGGCCTGGGAACAAAAACGTTGCTCCTTTTTGTGCCCAAACGTGAGGGCAGTAATGTCGTAAAATTTTCAACTTTACTATTTTGAACTAAATTTAAACTCATCGATAGGTTTAAAATCTTATTCAAAAGTATTATACGTTACAAAAGTTATAACCATGCAGAACTTACCCTCGAATCAAAAGCGGGTTGAGCATGGGGGTCAATCTTTTTAGGGTAATTTTGTTCTCGGGTCTTTATAATTGCCATTTTTTACAAAGCATTCATTTGGCACATAGTTTAGTTTGGAATTTGCACCATGCGTGAAAGTGACATATCTGAAATATCAAAAAAATTCTGCGGCGCAGTTTATTTATTTTAGTATATGAATGCAAAAATCATTCTTGGTGGAACATAAAAATTATAAAGTGTATGTGCAGCATTTTGTTACTTTTTTAAGGTACTAGCTGGTATAGCTTTATAAAAGTATCTTGAACACAGTGCAAAATTTAATTAAAAAGAAAAGTTGTCAATTGTCAATAGGGAGATGTTACCACTGATAGTAAGAGTTCCAAGTCAGAGGATCACATGACTATAATTCTAACAATGACTAATAAAATTGTACTTTTTCCTTAAGAAGGCTTTTAATAAGATTTAGCTATTTATTGAAAGAGTTATTCATTTTATTACTTAAATATATTAATTGTATTAATTTATGGTAAACCTCATTAATTTGTTGTAAAAACTACCAACTTACGATGATTTTTGTTTTAAGCTGTAGAAGAAATGATAAAAAAATATGAGCGCTACGCCAAAGAAGATCATCTCCATGATGCGACGGAAAACATCTGATGTACTGTGATACTCATAAAGAAAATATAACTCTCTATTTTGTGTAGACCACTAACTAAACACTAGCCTACTTCAGGTTAACAATTCCTTGTTAAACACTCTTTCACATTAATAGTAAAAAAAAATTAGTCAGCAAACTGTTTAACCTTGATCAAACTCAATTATGACTTGGTCTATTAATACTGAAAGAGCACTCGATTCCAGACACTAATAACAGTGAGAATATCTGTAAACACAAGTTTTATCACGAACTTTAGTCAAAAGCTTCCAAAGGAAAAATCGAAAAGTCTTCTTTAAAGTTGCATAAATTTGAAATTAGAGATATGTTTTAAAATATAATTAATTGAGATCCACTGCGTTTAAGTCGAAGTATCATTTTTAAGTTACTTTTCTGTCATAAATTGGAAAATCTAAAAAAAAATTATAGTAAACCAGTGTATTCATCAAAATGTTCTTCACTGCCATTATCTTCAAGATCACCTGCATAATCAAGAAAGAAAGCTTTTGAATTGCCATTTATTTCAGTAATTCGACCACTCTTGATTTAAATCCAGCTTCATTAGAATTCCGACTTCGTTTCATTTTTTCAATGTTCTCAATTTTATTTAACTATGAATAAACTAAAAGGAACTTTTTATGAGTGGTTTTAAAACGCGTAGCTGTTTCTATACGGTACATTAACGGTATAAAGTTACATTAAAAATTATTTTGTATTTTTTAAGACCCGTGTAAAAAGGACGTTACTAGGTACAAAATGAGGGGGCTAATCCTTAAAAAAAATTGACTCCATTATTGTAAAAAAAATAAAAAATAGTTAAAAAAAAGTCCTCAAAACTAAAAATTTTGCGACTGAAATGTGTCAAATGCCGACTAGCCGAAAATTTTATGTATAATGTAAAATATGTCGAAGTGGCTATTTTGACTTGAAAATTGGACATATATTTTACCAATTATACGCGAGCATATACGGCATATTTGAACCAAAAGTATTCAAAAATATCATGTTTTAAAAACAGATCTATATAGAGAAGAACTTTCTATATTAAAACATGCAAACAATTTTTTTGTTTGATGGTATCTTTGTGATAATAAAAGCCTTTAAAAGTGGTTTCTTTAAAAAAATCATAATTTACTTAAATTAAAACTTCCTAAATTTTAAATATAAACTAGTTTTATAGTGGTTTTAGAAGACCTGTAGAGTTTTTATTCGCAATCTGATGGTAATATTTTTTGATTTTTTATGTTGAAAAATGAGGTAATTTTATATAAACTAAAAAAAGTAAAGTTATACTTATTTTAGTCAACCTATTAATAAAATAATATTTGTCTACGTCTTTGTTTCCTCATTCCAATATAATGTAATAGATGCGTCTTTTTTTTTTTTTAATTGTTTTCTTGTGAAAATTTGTGTTCACTTCCGTTTTTACTGATCATTTAATAATAAAGAAATATATAGATATAAATCCGATTAATTATATCCTTGTAAAATTAGTTTTAAGAAAAGAAAATGCTTTGTTACAAAGTATGTAATAATATGTAAAAAAAAAAAAAAAAATAGCGCGAAAAAATATACAAAGTTTGTATATTTTTTCGCGTTTTTTTTTTCTTTTTTTTTACATATTTTTCTAGAAACATAAAATTCCAGTTTTTAAATCAAAAATAAGTTAACTTTTCGCATGCTGAACAACAGGCGGTTAACTTATCTAAAGATGTCACGAGTAATTTAGATTATTTTGAAATATATATATATATATATATATATATATATATATATATATATATATATATATATATATATATATATATATATATATATATATATATATATATGTTTTGCTGCCTGCAACACTGTCACTTTTGACAACCAATTTGTTAAGATGTCATCTTGTTAATAACTTTGGTGAAAACGTGTTGAGTTTATTGACAGATTTTTAATTTGTTTTTAAAATGATTTCTCAAATAAATATAATTAACTCTTTCAGACCCAACGGTTTCATTGGAACCATTAGTGTTTTTTTTAGCTCTGTCAGTTTATATTTATTATTTGAGTTACAGGTTTCAATTGTTATTTGCTTACCTAATATGGTTGAATAGAAAAAAAAAAAAATTGGTTTACATTTATTTATAGAAATATTTTGGTAAATACTATATCAATGTAATGTTCTGCATTTTCTTATACACAATTCGTGCAAATCTTGATGTTTTTAACCTATACAAAAAGTGTGGTGCTGAAAGGGTTAAATTAGTAGGTTAAAAAGTATTGTTTCTTGAATGTTTCTCTTTATTTTAAGGTTTTAAAAAAACTTTATTTTATGTTATATTTTTAAAGTTTAAACTAATTCTTAACTGCGGTACTAAAATATGTTATTTTAGATATGCGCAAAAAGGGTATTTCATCACTCAGGGCACTCCTAACAAATATTAATCTTCCTCAACGAGATATTTCCAGATTTGTTGTATTTTGCGGATCCTGTACAAAGTATATTATAAAAAATGACTAGCCTAGGGAGCTTGATATGAAAGAGGATTGGTAAAGAGGGTTGGTAAATGCGGAAAAAAAAAAAAGAATCAACCTGATTTGAAAACATACAAACAAAGATTATTGTTAAACATAAACAAACCACCAACAATGGAATAACTGGAAAGTTGGAGCAATCTGGAGTCAAAATTTTGAAGAAAATAGTTCAGTGTTAACTGCATTATATTGATTACAATTCACGACGCCGGGTCAAAAACCCTAAACTGATGAAACCGGGTTAAAAACCCTAAACTACAAAAATGATGCAAATAAAGCTGAAGTGGAGAAAAAAGTTCAGAAAAATAACTGAAGATGATTTAAAATTGGTAAAAGATGATTTAAAATTGGTAAAATTGGTAAAAACTAGTTTAGTTGTAATATTAATTAAAAAGATGTTCACCTTCCTGGTTTTAGCAAAAAGGAGACAATACGTAAAAAGAGATTGGGGAAGATTACTTATCGAAATGCATGATTTAAACTGTTAAATGTCTCACTTCGGTGATGATCTAGCCCGTGATATGTGGAAGAGGAATGTGGAGGAAATCGCTCAGGAAAAAATGAATCTGTTGTAAAAATAGTCCTGGATTAAAAACTGTTTCCACAATCGGCAGAACAGTTTGGTTCAGTTGAAAGAAAATTTTTTTGTGATTTAAGTAACTTTTAGTACTTAAATAAAAAAAATACGCTAAAATAGTAGGCTTTGCAACTCGTGTATGTGAAAATTTGTGGGCGGTCAAACGCACATTTAAAATTATGGGTGGCCAAAAATACCTTAATTTATTAAGATTTATAATTTCCAATAACATAAAAAAGCATATTTATGTATGATATTGCATATGTAAATTGCTAAGTTTTAAGTTTTAATTGCTATTTTTCTGATTATAGTTTTTGTTATTTTATTATTTGTTTTTTTTTATTTACCAAGCATTTTATTGAAAACTATTTAATAGACATAGCTTACTTAAATAATTACTTATATTTAAATAACACTTCAAGATAACAGGGGAAATTTTACAGCAAGTTTAACCTCCCCCACCCCCAGAGAAGGCTATTTTTAACTTTTTTTTAAGTAATATAGTCAGCTAGTTGGCATTTGACAGGTTTCAGTTGGCAGATTATTAGTTTTAAGGATCGTGCTTTTTTTAAGAAAACAGCCGACGCCTAAAGATGTAAGATTGCTTTCCATCCCCTCATTTTATTCCTAGAATCACCAGTGCATAAAAATTCTATAAAAATTATTGTATTGACTCATGTAAATATACACCGATATCTTTATCGGCAGTTTTTATATGAGTATCAATCTGTTTTAGGTAATATAAACAACAACATAATTGTAAATAACTTTGATAACTAATTTATTTTTTATACTAATGTTACACACCCATGCTGAACCAGAAATTTAGTTCAATGAAACGACATAGAGTTGTGCCGTGTCTTTTTAGAATTGTTAGAACCATACCATTTTGGGAAAGTTAGTATGAAAAATTATAAACCTACTGTTTAAAAAATTTAGTCTACTGTTTAAATTTATACAGGGGTCATTTATACTGTTTAAATTTATACAGGGGTCAAATAGGTTTTGGGCTTTAACGCCTCTCTGATTGTTTCTAAGATCCGCTTCAGAGAGGCAAGTAACTATTGTGTATTATTTCAGAAAATATGATCAGTTGTTAATTGCCCCCCCCCCCCCTCCTTAGGCAGATTTTAAAGATAGTCCAAGGGACGCCAATGTTTAGTACGTTTTCTGCAGTTAAAAGAAATCTTTTGAAAAGAAAGGCAAAGTAAAGAGAAACACAACATTGTTTTTAGAAAAATGACTGTTTACTAGACATTAAACAACTACTACTTTTTTAAAAAATTTTTCATTCTTCAGATATTGGTTTTAACTGTATTTGAAACAAGCTATAGAACTTCATCCAATTTTTTAATTCATTTAGGCAACCATTACCATTATATAATCCATTTTCAATTATTTTATATTTTTTAGAATAAATGGTTTTTTGTTCCTTCAATCAAATGTCCTGAGGAAAAAGATGTTCAACAACTTCGTCGTTATTAGTTCCAATTAAAAAAACTTCATCAATACAGTTAAAAGTTTCTTTGATCTACCCAATTTATACATATAACGGCTTTTGGTTTATATATTTTAGTCTTAGTGACCCAAGCCTAAAGAGGGCATCTAACGACTGGTCTCATATATTCTCTCAAAATGTACAACAGTTGTTTGCCCTTTCGGGTGGGGTTTAGGAATGGTCAGAGGGGCGCTAAAGTCTTTGATCGATTTGACCTTTTTATCAATATTATATAAGGAGTAGTTTTATTATTATATTATTTTTGAAAAAAGAAATAAAACTTAATTGTTTTTTTTTAAATCACTATTATCAAAAAAAAAATTTTTTTTGATAAAATATTTAAAAAAAATTTTTTTATAGTAAAAAAAAATTTGCTTTTGTTTATAGAGATGCAGTAACTCTTTGTCTTGTTGATGCTTTTACATGTATCTTTTCCGGTATGGTAGTTTTTGCAGTTCTTGGTCATATGTCATATAAATCAAATATACATATTTCTAAAGTAGCTACTTCAGGTTTTTAAAACACTTTTTAATTTTATATTTTTAGCTTTGCCATATAGGCATGATTGATTAAATGTTTAATTTTTTTTTTCTTTTTTACTTCTTCTATAGGCCCTGGTTTGATTTTCGTCGTTTATCCAGAAGGAATTTCGCAAATGCCGATATCTCAATTTTGGGGATTTTTGTTTTTCTTTACGATTCTTTCAATAGGGGTGGACACACAATTCGCTATGTTAGAAGCTGTTGTTTCAGGGTTGATCGATGAGTATAAATTTTTAAAAAAAAGAAAAGCATTGGTCACATTAGTATTATGTATTGGAGCTTGTTTATTTGGTGTTTCAATGGTTATGCAGGTATTTACAATTTTTATTTAAACTTTTAATATCTAATTCTTTTCATTTTGAATTTTTTATAACTGCTTGTTAAAAATGGAAAAGTGAAAAAAAGGCACTTTAAGTGTTGTTCAAATAATCAAAATTATTTTTTTCTATGAAGTTTCCAAAACATAAAATAATATTCAGAAAAGCAGGTAAAATTTTAAAAACGAAACTACTATTGTGAAGAGAAGCTCTGTATTAAGCGTCTTCTTTAGCAACTTCGTCAATAGTTTCTTTTGTTTTCCATAATTTTATAGTAAAACATGCTCCGTTGTTTCTACTTCCAAAAGCTCGCTTTTGAAACAGAATTAAATTTGTAAAAGCAACTTTGCAAAGACTTTGCAAAACACTGAAGGTGTCATACCGTGTTTAAATAATGAAATTATTTAGTTTTATTGATGTGCAGCTGTTTTTCTGGAAAATTTTTAAAAAGGATAATATTATAAGGAACTAGCTTTTTAATACCATTTTCCAAAATAAAAAAACAAAATCAAGTTTCCTCAATATTGTCAATAGCTTCATTTTCCATCATTCTATAGTAACACATACGCTATTGTATTCTAGGGTGGCAATATTATGTTTCATTCTGTCACACTAGTACGCCACTATGTAGAAACATTCGAAAACAACATGAATAAAAATATGCTTTATCGTAAAAAAAAAATGAATAATACAAGTCAACACTGTAAAATAAGGTGGAAATATAATAAAACTATCAACACTATAAAGGTGTTTGAACTTGGGCAGACGGTGCAAATAAATTTAGGCTAGTTTATGATTCCGGTGTATAACATACGTGGTATGTTGAACTGTATGACTAAATCTTCTTTGCAACCATGTACGTTTTTCACTCAACTTTGCTATCATAAACCTCCTCCAAACTAAAAACTCTTCTTTAACATTATGATTGTCAGGTATGACGTGCACGGCTGTTTACATCATACAGAAGCTTTTCGTTATCAGTGTCAGTCAAATCTTTTAAAAAGTCTATTCTACTGGTATCATTTTCTTCTACAGCGCTTTTTTTTTTTTTGCAAGATAATATGCTGTTTATTCAAACTTTTTTATTATTATTCTATTTGTTGGCTTTGAAAATCCACTTTAATAGCATCTTTAAATCTTTTTTTTGCTTTGCAATCACTTGTTTTACAGATTGCTTGTGTCTTTAAAACTTCCAGACTGGACGTTTATAAAGTTTCACAGTTTATTTACCCAGTCTTTTGTTTCTAAACCAAATCCCAAAGAAATTTTGCATAACTAACCTTGTTTTGATGCTGCATATATGTCAAATGACATATCACGAAATAAGTTTAGGAACTTTCAAGAATATCTATTCTTGCGTGACTTAAAACTTTTATTTATATTTCATCTATGTCAGAAAAAAAACCTTTTCAGACTTTTCAGTTTCTTCTTTACTCGTTTCAGTTGTAGGATTGATTCTATTTGTTTTTAGTTCACCTATATTTTTAACATTTTTTAAAAACATGTATACTCATTTTACACGTATACAAGAACATACTGCAACAATCTACGATATACTATATCTTAGGTTGTTGCTGTAGATTTTATAGCCGAAAACTTATCTTTATTATATATGTTGACGCATTCTTATTATGGCAGCAGCAAATTCATTTTTCCAGTTGAACAGACATCTTTATTTCAATAGTCACCTTTATTTTCAATTAATATTTATTTTCATTTTTTTAAAAAGGTTTATATAAAAGTTTATATATAAATATACTTTGCGGAGAAAAGACAAAAAAAAAAAAGACTTTTTGATAAATGGGCTTTAATTCTTGACCTCTAATAATCTGATTTAGTTTAATTAGAGATCAAAGACTGATAATTAATTCATATATTTATTAAATTTTAACTTAACTGCTAATTAATTTTATTTGAATTATATTTAAATTTATTACCATTTATACAATTTCAATTTTATTTTAAATAATTTTTATAACTAAATAATTTAAATAGTTACTTAGTGGGCACGGGATGTAAAAAAGACGTCATTTACACGTCTTTTGAAGCCTTTTGAACGTTTTGGACGTCTTTTGAACGTTCCATAGACGTCTAAAAACTTTAATAAAACTTTAATATACGTATAATAAACTTTAAGGATCATTTTACTCATGCATAATCACTTTTATTCGAAATGAATATTCTTAATATATACTAACTAAATATTTTTAAAGTTTTTTGCTTTATATTTAAATGTAAGATAAACTTAATTCCTATATCTTTTCAAAATTTATATGCATTAAAGCCTAAAAACAAATATGATCAAAGAAATAAAAATTTTATTTAACAACATTATTCGCATACAAATTTTGAAAGGTCTCTTCTATCATATCGCGGAGCTTTTTTGTGGAACCAAATAGTTTGAAAAAAATTTAATTTTTCCCAAAGTTGGAATTTTTCTACTTTCAAAAATAAACTGAAAAAAGTTATTTTCTTAATAAATAATATATTTGGGTTCTTTTGATCTCGTTTCTTTTTTATAAGTATTATCTAAATGTAATTTAAAAGTATTTTTTCGTATTTTTTATTGTATTGTTAAACGGTGTTTTATAATTGAGATACCTAATCTTATTTGTATGTCGTCGCTCCAAAACGAGACTATCAAGTCTCCAAAACGAGACTATCAAGTCTTTTTTTGGTGTTCTGAGAAAAAGGAATTTAAAGTTTTTAAGTCATCACTGCGTTTTTGATCTTCTTAATTAAACCAAATTTAAAAATGAGAATTTAACCTTTAAAGAATACGAAACAGCTTTTAAAAGCTTGAAACGTAATAAATTTTCTGGAATTGATGGTATAAACAGCAACATTGTTATTGACTGTTATAATGAGCTAAAAGTGCCTTTATTTAAAATTTGTAAACGTTTTCTGAATGAGGGTTTCTTTCCTGATATACATAAATCAGCAAAAGTTAAACCTATACATAAATCAGGCGATTAAACTGATATTGGAAACTTTAGACCAATATCTATACTTTCCATTTTTTCTAAGATTTTTGAGCGAATTATGTTCAATAGGTTATATGCATTTTTTAAAGATAATGACTTATTCTATTCAAAACAGTTTGGATTCAAGAAAAGCACTTCAACTGAACATGCAATACTTCACTTAATTAATGAAATAAAAAACTCTTTTGCAAACGGAGAATTTACTTTAGGCGTGTTTATTGACCTCTCCAAGGCCTTTGACACAGTGGATCATAAAATAATGATAAAAAAGCTTAAGATGTACGGTATAAGAGGCGTACCCTGCAGGTGGATAGCAGATTACCTGAGAAAACTTACACAGTCCATATATTACGGAAAAAAAAAACTTACAAATTCATCTTTAATTTCTTGTGGAGTGCCCCAAGGATCTATTCTTGGGCCTCTACTTTTCCTAATATACGTGAATGATCTCTGGAGAGCGTCAAATATATCAACAATAATGTTTGCAGACGACAGTAACTTTTTTATTTCAGGAAAAGATATACCTCAACTCTTCGTACAAATAAACAACGAGTTAGATAAAATTTCACTATGGTTCAATGCAAATAAACTTTCTATTAATTCAAATAAAACAAAGTTCTCATTATTCCACACTTTAAAAAAAAAAAAAATCCTATTTCTTTTCCAAAACTAGTTATTGAAAACACAGAAGTTAGTCGCGAAAGAGTCATAAAATTTCTTGGTGTTCTCATTGACGAAAATATTACCTGGAATAAACATACTGCCTATATTGGCAGCAAAATATCAAAAAGTATTGGCGTTCTGTATCAGTCACGGGATTTACTTAATAAGCATCATCTAAAACAAATCTATTTCAGTTTTATACAAAGTTACTTGAATTACACAAATATTGCGTGGTGTAGTACATCTAAAAGCAAGCTTGAAACACTCTATCGAAAACAAATACATGCCTTAAGAATAATGAATTTTAAAAATAAAAACGAAAATGCAAAACCACTGTTCGAAATTATGAATATTTTTACGTTATACGAGATAAACATTTATAAAATTTTATGTCTCATGTACAAAAGTAAATTTCAACAATGCATCTCAATTTTTATTGATCTTTATGAAACAAAACCTAACATTAAATATACTTTACGAACAACAGGCTTAATTGAACCATTGTGCAAAAATAAACAAGAACAATTTAAAATTACGTATCGTGCTCCGCATATCTGGAATAAAATCTTAGCAAAATATAGTAATTTACCAGGTGTAAACAATATAAATTGTTTCAAAAGCTAATAAAAAAGAATATTTCAAAGTATACAAATCTTATTAATGATTTCTAAACCGTTTTGTTTTTTGGTTTGTTTGTTTTTGCCTTTTTACATTGAAAAGTTTTTGGTTTTAACACTATTAACCTTAGTTAATTAAGTTTTGATTTTAACACTATTATAGGAATTTAATATTGTAAAAACATAATTACAACGGTTCTTGATGATGAGACTTAATGGTCTTCTGCAAGTTTCCCGCGTTTTTATTTATTTTTGTATAACTAACCTTATTATTTAGTCTTTGATTTTTTATATTTATAACTGGTTTATTTTTGAAAGAATAAGAGTATCTGGTATTATATTACGGAGTTTAATTGTAACAAAAACGGAAAATTAAATTAAAAAAAAAAAAAAAAAAATTCTTTTTAAAATACTTATAGAATATGTTATTATTTTTTGCAACAATACAAATCGACTTAAGATAATCTTAAAACTATATAAAATATGACAAAATTCTGCAAATTAAATTTTTTATATATATATATATATATATATATATATATATATATATATATATATAATATAGAAAAAAATATACACACATTTTTCCCTTCTACTTTCGTGTCACTCTCTTCAATTTAAATAGACGAAAAAATTTGTGAGTCGAAGGTATGACTAATAATCTCGATTCGATTTATAACAACTTATGTTTTTATAACTTAAAAACTTTCCGCCGTGAAATACATTGTATTTTGTTTAAATAACTGTTTTTCCTCAGGTCTAAACAATTATATTTTGGTTAAAAAAAGTATAAAAGTAAAATAGTATAAAATAATTAGGGCAGGTATTACGCAACGCTAAATTTTACTAATAAAATAAACAAAAAGATCAGAAGTTTTACTTTGCAGAGCTTTATGTTGAATAAAAAATTAAAATTATGCATTAAATTTATTAAAAATCGCCGCGTAAAAGAGCTTTAGATCTCCAACTTCTGTTTTCAAAAATAAATTTAGGATTGCTTAATTTATGAACAATTCCTTATACAGAAACATTGTTTTACGAGTTTTATATAAAAGTGGAACATATCCTAATATTATATTTATAAAGAGCCCAGTGAGAAAAAGCATTAGCAAAAGCGTTAGTCTTAAGTCTCATTACCCCCTCAATATACCCGTGTTATGAAAAGTTATTTTGCTGATAATAACGTAAATTATAATGGGATTACTGCTGATGAATGATGGGATTACTGCTGATGAATGATGGGATTACTGCTGATGAATGATGGGATTACTGCTGATGAATACACGTTCATTGAGTAATAAGCAGACTTTTTTAATTAATCGTATAAATGCATATAAATTGAGTTTAGGTGATAATGCGTATAAATCAAGTATTCTGTATATGAATGCGTTTAACTAAAGCAGACGCATATACTATAAATATTAATGCTGTTATTAGCCTTCACAATTTGATTATTTCAAATAAAAGTTTTCTTAATATTTTTATATCCCACAGAATGGAATGTATGTTTTTAACATATTCAACTTGCAGTCTGGCGGAATATCGCTTCTCTTTCTGGCACTTGTTGAAGTATTAGCGCTAGGCTATGGTTACGGAGCAGATAAATTTGAAAAAAATATAGAAGAAATGATTGGTTATAAGCCTTACCCTTGGTGGAAATGGTGCTGGAAGTTTATTTCACCAATAGTTATATTTTGTATACTTCTGTCTAGTATTTTACAATGGACTGGAATAACATATGGCGATTACAAGTAAGTAAATTTTTTTCATATTTTTACAAGTGGCTTTATATTTTTACTTGTTGGTTTTACGTTATTGACTGAATGATTGCACAGAAGATTAAATGACCGAGCTATAAGTAATTATTTTTAAATTTTTAATATCAATTCTAACGTTAGGTATCCCCTCTATGGCGAAATAATTGGATGGTTTTTAGCATTAGCTAGCATGATTTGGATACCAACTGTAGCTATCTATAAATTATATATGTGTGAAGGAACATTACTTCAAAGATTTAAGAAAGTTTGTAAACCGAAAGTTGATCATAAATTTGTTTTAGATTTAAAACTGTTTGAAAGCAATAACAACTTTGATGAATGAAAAAATATATATAAAATATTCAGTTATTCAACATAATGAAAATATTAGCGTGTATTAAAATAATCATATATATATATATATGTGTGTGTGTGTGTAAACTTGTACATATCTTAAGACATATAAACTGAGAAAACTGTATGTATATATTACTACTCAGAATTGAGTTACCGACAATATTGGATAATTTCCAATGGAAGGCTTGTTTTATAGCAGACATTGGTATTTTTTAAAAAAGAAAAAAGTTCAAAAATCTTTGCCAATTGTTTTTATTTATTTATTTATTTAATAGTTAAAATAAGAATTTATTTATTTAAATGTTAAAATAAAAGCTAATATAATTATTAAAACAAAAGTTAAAATAAAAATTTGTTTATTTAATTAATAGCAGTCCGCACCCTTAAAAGACTGGGTCATGGGAAGGGGGGTTATTCCACACCGACCATTCCTACACTTATTCAGCTATCAACCTATATTCCTACACTTATTCAGCTATCAACCTATATTCCTACACTTATTCAGCTATCAACCTATATTCCTACACTTATTCAACTATCAACCTATATTCCTACACTTATTCAGCTATCTATCCTCTATCAACCGCTATTTCTATACTTACGTAAAGCATATAGAGTTTCTATACACCATGAAGTTTAGACGCAAAAAAAAAACCGCCTTCCTTACTATGAAACACCGGTGTTGGATTGTACATTCTTGACAAATAATTCTAAGAATTCAAAACAAAAAAATTCAGCTAATCAAATCAGCATTTTGAAATTTTGCGAATAAAAATTTCAAATAAAACCGGTCTATTTTATATATCCCCATTAAATCTACGGCCACACTTAGCATCGTAATCCTACTAAAAAAAAATTGCTAATCTGAGAATCATTACATATTTTTAAATTATTTTACACAGGGTATCATATATTTATTTTTAGACGTATTTTAAAAAAAAAGTTAAAGTATTCAAAAAATCAGAGGGTTTTTTTTTTCGGATTAATTTAGTTTACCGGTAATAAAGAGTTTTAAATTATAGTTACAATTTTTATTTACAATTTGCTTTATTGAAAAAAATTAAATTTATATTGGCTCACACAGTTCACACCCTTAAAAAAAAATTGAAGTATCTTACTACAGAGGTAGCCAGAATATATTTTCAATTATAAAAAGTTGATTTGTTGCATAAAATTTGTATCAACCACGGATCTCTAGTTTCTGAGGCAAGCGCGCTGACTACTGGACTGCTACGCTGTTTAGAGCGCCTGACGGCTGCTCTAAACATTTTTTCCAATAAAATCCTGCAAATTGGGCATCTAGTATGTTTATACATTATTCTTCAATCCATTAATCTTTGCGTACTGAATGGAACAATAACATTATGCAAAAACGTTATTTGACTTTTATTGGATTTTAATTAATTTAATTTTAATTAATTTCATTAAGTTAAAACTATTAAAAGTATAATGAAGAAGTTTGATTTTTATCATAAGCAATTTAAAAGTTTATCAAAAACGTGTGTTTTTGAATTTAACATGTTACCTAGGGGACCGTCCCGAAGAGATCTTTTAAGGGGAAGGAGTTTTCTGTTTTTTTTTTGCCGAATAACGTCTAAAAAGTACAATATTAAAAAAAGGTCTTTGTTAGCTGACATCTGCCGACTGCCTACTAAAGATCCAAATTTGCTGAATAATTTTTGGTTAAGGTTTTCGTAGGAGGGTTTTACTAGTTCTTTAAATACACATTTTTATTATCAGATTTTTTCAATTAGATTTTAATTATAGATTTCCATATCTTTTCCGTTTATTCTTACAAAGCAGTATATAAAAAGGTAAGACTAAGCAGTATATAAAAAGGTAAGACTTAGCAGTATATAAAAAGGTAAGACTTAGCAGTATATAAAAAGGTAAGACTTAGCAGTATATAAAAAGGTAAGACTTAAGGTAAGAAGGTAAGGTAAAAGGTAAGACTAGTTACTTCTCTCATAAATCTGATAAACAACAATTTGACTTACAGAAAACCTTTTGGTTTTCATTAAAATTAAATAACAAAGTAACAAATAAGATAAATATGCATCAAGAATTTAACAAATTATATTTAATTAATTCTTAAGAATTTCCTTATGTAGGGCATGTAGGCAGTTCTTAAAAATTTATTTTGTTTATATAGGGCAGTCTCTTGCATCATCTCTTGCATCAGAAAACAGTATGTTAAAGTGTAAAAGCCTTTTGATATCGAGTGAATTGTTAAAAACCAGCTTTTCTCTATTTTATAAAATAAGACAAACAATTAATCTTTTATTAAAGTTACTTTTCGAAAATTATCCATATTTTTTTGGAAATTTTACTTGTTGATTAAGGCTTGTTCATTTATCATGAAGAAACCATATTCATCATATATTGCTTCTTCATTTATCATGGAGAAACCATTCGGGACAATATGAAAAAATTATCTATAATAGTTATGTGAGAAAATCGAGATCTTGTCTCAATAATAAATCACAAAAAATGATGTGCTTTAGCCTTGTTCATAATCATTTTTCATACGCTAATATTGGATGAGCAAGCACCTACAAAATTTAAAATATTGGATGAGCAAGCACCTACAAAATTTAAAATGTTACAAAGCTTAAAAAGCCATGAGTAAATGGCAATAAATTATTTAGATATTTACTATAAATATAGCTATTATTAGCTATTTACGTATAAATATAAAAATGAATTACAACCAAACGTTTTTTCTGATATCATTTTGTAAAAATTTCCTTTAAGTATAATCATCGGAAAAAGAATACCTGAAAAAATAATAAATAGATAAAAATAATAAATAATAAATTATTCAGGCTCAACTTTTTTTATATAGGGGAAAACCGAGCAAGATGGCGACTGGGGCAAGATGGCTTTTCAAATAATGAACATAAGTTAAAAATATATATATCACAATCATTGTGATAATTTTTCATCCGTCACCCGTAGTCTCCAGTAGGCCAGCACTCATTAGCAATAATTCTAACTTTGATTCATAAACTGTGATTCTATTGGTGTAACTGTTTTTGGGGATATTTTTTTGCAGCATGTGTTTATTTTGCAATATATTAAATAGAGTAGTTAAAAGCTTTTCAAATTTTTTAAAGTTGGAGACAGAAAACGCATTGTAAGTCATCTTGCCCCAATCAAGTGACCAGAAAATAAATTTATGAATTTAATTTTTATTACACAGTTTTATATTTTATAACTAGTTTTTCTACTTGCAAACTGAAAGCACTTGCAGTCAATGAATCATTATGGTAAAAATACTGAGAAAGTATTATAGAATGACAGTTTCGAAAAAACTCAGGATTTTCAAAATGTTCGCTTTCTTGCTGCGTCTTCCCCAATATGATGTTAAAGAAACCTTGTTAAATTAAAAAAAAGCAGGTCAAGATATTATAATTTATCTTATTAAATAAGATAGTTAAAGGGACACTACGAAAATTGGTGAAAATCCTTTCTATTGGTGTTATTTTTTAAAATAAAAGCATAAGCATTCATATTTTACTTTTATTGAGGTAAACTCTTTGTTAAAATTTATAACTAAAAAAAAAAAAGAAACACATAATTAAATTAAAATTTTTTTTTTTATAATTTATAATTAATCAAACGGTTTTTTAAACAAAACAAAAAAATAAGGAAAGCGATTTATTGTTAATTGTAAAAAGGAAAAAGGGAGTTTAAGAAAACACGAAAACATAATTCACATTATAGTTTTTAACTAATATTATTTCAAAGAAGTTTCGAAACACTAAAAATTATTATTAAATAAATTTTTATAATTAGTTTATGAGTGATTTTGTAGAATGAGCAGTTTTGTTATTAATTAACTTACTTAATAAATTAGTAAACTAACTACAAAAAAAGTTTATAATGTGAGATCATGGTAATTATAATAACGTTTAGTTAACATATACAATCGTATAAATCAGTAACCCTCTCAGTGGTCCTGCAAATGAATACTTTAGGAACTTATAAAAAAATTGAAAAAATACTTGCACTATATAGAACTTTTCATTTTTTTCCATATCTTTAGAACAGCGGTGTAACTAGATTTAGAGCACATCCATTCGCGGGACAGCTGTGCCGCGTAGGGATGAGGTAGATGTTAGATGGGGTAGAAAGAAAAACAAAATTTTCCAAGTAATCTGCCCTAGCGTTGCCGTATAACTATAAATAAGTATAAAATAAAAATTTATTAATAATTTTAAAAGTTATACTTATTTTATATTATTTATTATATCATCTTATATTATATATATATATATATATATATATATATATATATATATATATATATATATATATATATATATATATATATATATATATATATATATATATATATATATTATATCATCTTTTATATTATATCATCTTATATTACAATGAAGGTGTACAAAAAGAATATATATATATATCATCTTATATTACAATGAAGGTGTACAAAAAGAATGATCTTTAAAGTTAATCGAGAAAAGTAAGTACTTTATTTATTTCTTCATTTTATAAGTTCATTCATTTGTGTAGAAATAAAACAAATTGGTTCAAATGATTTTCTTGAATAAAATATTTTTATGTTTATTGCAGAGCCATATAAAGAGAAAACAACTACTCTTATTGAAGAAAACAGGTCACCTTTAATAAAAATGAGAAAAGAGTTTAACCTACCACATTGGTGTTTTTACATAGCATGGTTTATATGCATTTTTAGTATATTTGCTTATGTTTTTACTGATTTGTCTGTAAAGCAGGAAACTTGTGACAGGCCTTCAAATAAGAATTTTGATGACTGCTCACTTCAAACTAAGAACAGTTAACTCTCTTTATCGAGGACATTCATCTAATGAACTTTTAAAAATAACAAAATATAAAGATTTTAAAGTATATATATATATATATATATATATATATATATATATATATATATATATACATATATATATATATATATCATAAAAATGGTGTATCATAAAAAAAGAAAAACCGATAGACCACCTAGAGGTAAAGTTAATGAGAATAAAATGCGGGTAGCTGTAAATGCAGTTCTTAATGGTGGTACAGTTTATCGTGTATCTAAAGAGAGGGGAATCAATTTAATGACACTTAAGAGATATGTAAGGAAATATCAATTAAATCCAAATACAGTTTGCAAACCTAACTTCATTACCATGCAAATCTATACCAACGAAAAAGAAACATCTTTATCAGATTATCTTTTAAGAACTTTAAAA